AGCACAGGACGGTATGCACTTCTTCTGGAATTTCTTTCTACGCTTTGACCATGATGTGTCTCGTAATTTATACTCGAATAGCAATTCGGCGAGTCTGGTATTGGTAAACTAGTCTGCCTGATGTAGAATTGACGGCGGCGCGCTGGTCTTCAAAGCAAACCTGTATTGGTCCACTAGGTCGTAAATAATTTTGTATGCTACACGGGTTCATTTAGCTTTGCCGCTTTACCAGTGCAGTGCAGAACATTGCTTGGCGGGGTATGTTGTTGATATAATACGTATTCTTATTTATTAGTTGATATTATTCATATCGTAACCAGTAAAGGGTAATAGTTATTAAAATAAATGTTATATGTAATTATCTAGTAATTTAACGTGACTCTCTTGAAGCGAAGGATAACAAAATATCTCGGAAAAATCCCCAAACAGTGGAACCAGTCGAAAGTATCTCAGAATTTAAAAACAAAGATTTACACGTAAAAAGTCAACGTATATTAAATATATATGAATGTTTGAAAATTGAAAATAGTGAACAATATGATAAAAAAATTAGGAAACGTATTAACGAATTAGCTAAGATATCATAAAGAAAATTGATGATTTTACCAGATAATGCAGCGTACAATTTATAATATGTATACAAAAAAAAAATAAGTTCCTACTTTAAACATGATTCGAGATAAATTAAGCGATTATCCTGATTATAATTGTAAATCTTTAGATATTTTACGACATGCTTTATTACAATCCGATTTTAAACATAAAAACTTGACAATTGGATGGTAATTATATGGTAATATAGCTCGGAATATAGTATATCCAGACGAGACAGGTCAAAATTTTTCTGGACGTCTATGGATTCCGTAGAATTTATGAGTGAAATGTTTTTATGCGGTTCCAATTGAGATCGTAGCAACTACTAAATATGACTACTTGCGGAAAACCGTAGAAGTATGCCAGTCGAAATAGGGGACACCTGGAGTAGGATTTTGTGTACTATTGTCTTTCAGCAACTGTGGAATTCTATATTGGATTGCGACTATCGCTTGATCTTGTATTATATGTACCTACTTCAATAAACCGCTTTGTCGATCGGTAATCATCGTAAAAATAACTCTTTTCTAAAAACATTAAGGGATTTTATGGAATTATTACTGTTTCTCATATTGGTATTTCTGGAAAATCCGCGCGATAACCTTTAAATTGAGATAAGAATAATTATGTAAGATGTAAGGTAAAATATAAAAACTAATTTCATATCAAGGTAAGTTAAAATAAATATAATAATAATAATTAATAATATTAATCCAGATGTTACCAGTTGATATTTTAAGAAATTTTCATTTGAATAATTTGGAGAGAAGAGAACATATTCGTATTTATAATATGGAAAGACGTATCATGAGAGATAACAGTGACCCTTTTGCATTACGAGATGAACAATTTATAGGTTTGTTTCGGCTAAGTAAAGAAATGGTGCAATATGTTTACAATGAAATAAGCCCACACTTAAATCAAACAGAAAATGTCATTGCTATCCCAAACTTGCTGAAACTTTTAGTAGCATTAAGATTTTTTGCTAGTGGTTCTTATCAAAGTTGCATTGGGCAGAGTTATAATTTATCTGTATCACAACCTACTGTTTCAAACATCATCAAAGAAGTTAGCCTGGCCATCAGCGAGTTGTCAAGAAATTGGGTTAAATTTCCTCGGACTGCTGAAGAAAAAAATAGGATAAAAGGCAGATTTATGAGTCAAACACATTTTCCTGGTACTGTTGGTGCTATAGATTGCACACACATAGCTATAATTACACCTCAAGATGAAGAACACAATTACTTGAACAGAAAAGGTTTTCATTCAAAAAATATTCAGATAGTAAGTAACATATAAAACAAGCGTTTATGTATAACTAAGAGTAATAATAATTTTACAGATTTGTGACTATGATTTAAAGATATTAAATGTTAACGCTACACATGCTGGTGCTACACACGATAGTTTTATTTGGAGGCATTCTATAATACAGGAAGAATTGGAGAGATGGTACAATTTAGGTATTATAATTTCTAATAAATACATCATTTTTTGTGCGATCGTTTCTAGATAAAAGAACATCATTCATAATACTACAAGAAGTCTATCGAGAATGCAACCATATAAAAATAATCTATCTTTTCTAGGAGATAGAAACTCATGGCTTGTTGGAGATTCTGGATACCCACAACAATGTTATCTAATGACACCAATTATTGATGCAGCACCAGGCACTCCAGAATTTGCTTATACTCAAGCTCAAATGCGAGCAAGAAATTGTATTGAACGTTGTATAGGTGTATTGAAAGGCACATTTCGATGTCTGATGGCAGAAAGAAAATTGAGATATCAACCACAAAAAGTGGGTCATATTGTAATTGCATGTTCAGTGCTTCATAATATACGTATGTCTGGTCATCAAAATTTGGAAGAAATCTTGTTACCTGAGAATCACAATAATTTTGACTATTTCAATAATCACATCGATGTTGGTGGCATGCAAGCAAGAGCAGATTTGATTGAAAGATATTTTAATTAATTATACTGATTTAGTGTTCTCTGCAATTATTTAAATATACTGGTTCTTATTGTACTGATTATTTAACTTATATGCAAATAAATATATTAAAATTAATACAAGTATATCAACATTCAAGTCACTCAATATTACAATATTACTAAAAAAAAATCTTGGTGATAAAAGGTAGGGCCAATAACTTTAAATAAAAAAAATACAAAGAATGTTTATTAATAACTCTAGGAACTATATACGTACAAACAGTAACAGATTTATGAATAAAAAATATTTCTCAAGTTAACTTATATGATAATCCTAACATTAATATGGAAAACCTACATCGGTTTCAGTCAAAAAGTAACAAAATTCTTAAGTTCAAATTTAATATGGAACAGATTTATAAAATTTGAGTAACATGCGCAATTTCTACAATTTTTCTTTTTACATAATCGACCTTCCTAAGTATATTAATTAAAAAACCTGTACGCATCTAGTCATCACATTAGCTAAATAAACCTAGGAATGTTCTACAAAATTTTCGATGAAATCGTGCAGTCCAAATTTTATGACCCTGTACCAATACTATTTTCTATAAATTATTTTCCTCCCTCACATGTCTTTTTATAAATATCTAAAAATTGATTAAATGTGTCACCTATAGACTTAATATTAGCACTTATTTCCTTCAAAATGGTCATTGTGTCTGACTGCATATCAGATAATTTGTTGCAAAATTTATCATTTCTCCGTTGGGACAAGCATTTCTGCTTATAGTTTGGCTTTTTTGAAGCTGCAGGTTCTATTTCATCTCTTATTCTTTTGCGTGATGTTGATGGTAAGTTTTCATTTTCTTCACTATTATACATAACTCCATTTTCAAGATCATAAACTATGTAGTCGTGGTCTACAAACTCGATTGGTTGTGATTCTCCCTAAAATTAAAAAGTTATAAATAACACTGTACTAATCAGCAACAAAGACGAACCTGTTCCAAACCTATCTCCTTAACAGGATCACCCTGAACATTTTTTTTACCCATGAGATTTAAAAGCCTTTGTTCATTATCAGACAGCATTATATTTTTGTATTCTCCTCCACCAGTTTTTACCATTTCCTTATGTACCTTCGACCATTTTGCCTTAGTTTTGCATTTCCAATCTGTAAGGGCCTAAAAAAATAGAATGTATCTTGTAGGTCAATTTATTAAATTATAGTACACAATACACATTTTTTAAATATTTCTAGTCAATAGATTCCTAATATATGTATATACCCACTAATTTCAAAAGCTAAGTAGTGGAACATACTACATACCCTTCGCCATTCCTCGGTTGATTTGCTACCATAGCCTAAGCTATTTAAAATGTTTGTTGTCTTCTTCCATAACTCGTTGATTTTGAGTCGCCCATTTGCTCCATTAAATCTATTTGTAATTAATTCACTGTTTTCTTCAGCGAGATCTAAAAATGCTTTCCAATGTTCTGCAGTAACTCTCATAATTATGTACAGTAGAAGCCAAATCTCAAAAGTGTGAACAAAACAAATCATATACGATTAAAAAATAATGTGATCTATTAATATATCAATGTAGTTGTATTATTAATAAAAAATTAATTACTAAAGAAAATAAAACTCTACCACAACCGCACTTTTCCTTTTTCCCACTATCGTCCACCATAGACAATCATCCAACTTCCATCATAGATTAATAATAAATACAGAAACTATCCACTAACTTACAGCAAATATTTAACTGCCCTTTTTTAATCAGTAATATCCTTGTCTTCTCAACACACATAAATGTGTCGCAAATAGGCGATAGTTTTAAGTCAGCGACAATTGCTAAATCAACGTACATAATACCAAAATCGACAAATTGGAATAAATTGTAGAATTCCATAGTACACAAAATCCCGCCCCAGATATAGCATTATTCTTGGACAAACTATTCGACAATGTGAATCGAATGCCGATGTATGCTGAACATGGGAAACTGTTGAGAATAACCATAACCTCATCTTCATCTCATTTAAAATTTTGGGAAGAAGCTTTATAGGTTTTACGATAGATGAAATCTATAGTTAAAAAGATAAAAAATATCAACAATTCCTTCCATCGTGAGAGGACTTCAGTTGTACATCTTCTTTGGATTATCAGCTAGTGTCCGTGAAAGTCGTTGTGCTAATCGTTTTGTTAGTCTCTGTNTAAAAGGCAGATTTATGAGTCAAACACATTTTCCTGGTACTGTTGGTGCTATAGATTGCACACACATAGCTATAATTACACCTCAAGATGAAGAACACAATTACTTGAACAGAAAAGGTTTTCATTCAAAAAATATTCAGATAGTAAGTAACATATAAAACAAGCGTTTATGTATAACTAAGAGTAATAATAATTTTACAGATTTGTGACTATGATTTAAAGATATTAAATGTTAACGCTACACATGCTGGTGCTACACACGATAGTTTTATTTGGAGGCATTCTATAATACAGGAAGAATTGGAGAGATGGTACAATTTAGGTATTATAATTTCTAATAAATACATCATTTTTTGTGCGATCGTTTCTAGATAAAAGAACATCATTCATAATACTACAAGAAGTCTATCGAGAATGCAACCATATAAAAATAATCTATCTTTTCTAGGAGATAGAAACTCATGGCTTGTTGGAGATTCTGGATACCCACAACAATGTTATCTAATGACACCAATTATTGATGCAGCACCAGGCACTCCAGAATTTGCTTATACTCAAGCTCAAATGCGAGCAAGAAATTGTATTGAACGTTGTATAGGTGTATTGAAAGGCACATTTCGATGTCTGATGGCAGAAAGAAAATTGAGATATCAACCACAAAAAGTGGGTCATATTGTAATTGCATGTTCAGTGCTTCATAATATACGTATGTCTGGTCATCAAAATTTGGAAGAAATCTTGTTACCTGAGAATCACAATAATTTTGACTATTTCAATAATCACATCGATGTTGGTGGCATGCAAGCAAGAGCAGATTTGATTGAAAGATATTTTAATTAATTATACTGATTTAGTGTTCTCTGCAATTATTTAAATATACTGGTTCTTATTGTACTGATTATTTAACTTATATGCAAATAAATATATTAAAATTAATACAAGTATATCAACATTCAAGTCACTCAATATTACAATATTACTAAAAAAAAATCTTGGTGATAAAAGGTAGGGCCAATAACTTTAAATAAAAAAAATACAAAGAATGTTTATTAATAACTCTAGGAACTATATACGTACAAACAGTAACAGATTTATGAATAAAAAATATTTCTCAAGTTAACTTATATGATAATCCTAACATTAATATGGAAAACCTACATCGGTTTCAGTCAAAAAGTAACAAAATTCTTAAGTTCAAATTTAATATGGAACAGATTTATAAAATTTGAGTAACATGCGCAATTTCTACAATTTTTCTTTTTACATAATCGACCTTCCTAAGTATATTAATTAAAAAACCTGTACGCATCTAGTCATCACATTAGCTAAATAAACCTAGGAATGTTCTACAAAATTTTCGATGAAATCGTGCAGTCCAAATTTTATGACCCTGTACCAATACTATTTTCTATAAATTATTTTCCTCCCTCACATGTCTTTTTATAAATATCTAAAAATTGATTAAATGTGTCACCTATAGACTTAATATTAGCACTTATTTCCTTCAAAATGGTCATTGTGTCTGACTGCATATCAGATAATTTGTTGCAAAATTTATCATTTCTCCGTTGGGACAAGCATTTCTGCTTATAGTTTGGCTTTTTTGAAGCTGCAGGTTCTATTTCATCTCTTATTCTTTTGCGTGATGTTGATGGTAAGTTTTCATTTTCTTCACTATTATACATAACTCCATTTTCAAGATCATAAACTATGTAGTCGTGGTCTACAAACTCGATTGGTTGTGATTCTCCCTAAAATTAAAAAGTTATAAATAACACTGTACTAATCAGCAACAAAGACGAACCTGTTCCAAACCTATCTCCTTAACAGGATCACCCTGAACATTTTTTTTACCCATGAGATTTAAAAGCCTTTGTTCATTATCAGACAGCATTATATTTTTGTATTCTCCTCCACCAGTTTTTACCATTTCCTTATGTACCTTCGACCATTTTGCCTTAGTTTTGCATTTCCAATCTGTAAGGGCCTAAAAAAATAGAATGTATCTTGTAGGTCAATTTATTAAATTATAGTACACAATACACATTTTTTAAATATTTCTAGTCAATAGATTCCTAATATATGTATATACCCACTAATTTCAAAAGCTAAGTAGTGGAACATACTACATACCCTTCGCCATTCCTCGGTTGATTTGCTACCATAGCCTAAGCTATTTAAAATGTTTGTTGTCTTCTTCCATAACTCGTTGATTTTGAGTCGCCCATTTGCTCCATTAAATCTATTTGTAATTAATTCACTGTTTTCTTCAGCGAGATCTAAAAATGCTTTCCAATGTTCTGCAGTAACTCTCATAATTATGTACAGTAGAAGCCAAATCTCAAAAGTGTGAACAAAACAAATCATATACGATTAAAAAATAATGTGATCTATTAATATATCAATGTAGTTGTATTATTAATAAAAAATTAATTACTAAAGAAAATAAAACTCTACCACAACCGCACTTTTCCTTTTTCCCACTATCGTCCACCATAGACAATCATCCAACTTCCATCATAGATTAATAATAAATACAGAAACTATCCACTAACTTACAGCAAATATTTAACTGCCCTTTTTTAATCAGTAATATCCTTGTCTTCTCAACACACATAAATGTGTCGCAAATAGGCGATAGTTTTAAGTCAGCGACAATTGCTAAATCAACGTACATAATACCAAAATCGACAAATTGGAATAAATTGTAGAATTCCATAGTACACAAAATCCCGCCCCTGTATATTTGTTTGACAGAACATCACTGCGTATTTTTACATTAGAATGTTTTCTTAACATTACATTGATATAAGGTTGATGAATGGTGTTGATGGGTCTATCTTCAATGATAAGTGAGATATGACCAAAACAGTAGAAGGAGATTATTGTTAGCATATTGTTTTGGCGATATATTCCCTATTATTAGAGATAGATCCATCAAACCTTATATTGTTGTAATTCTGAAAAAGCGTTCTATCCAATTATCTAATAATATACAGGGTGTTCTGTTTGAAGGAAACAAAGGCTTAATAAAAATATCCACAATGCAATATTTAATTGTTCTGAGATTACAGAAAAATTTTCTACAACTTTGGCCCAATTTTTTTCTTTCTTAATACGAAAGCAACAAAGATAAAGGTGTAAAATGTTATGTGATTAATTCTGGTTTATTTTCCATACTTCCTCTACTAAGTATCGCCATAATTTAAAGGTAAATAAATCTCTATTTTAGACAAATCATTTCATTCGAATCGTGGTAAAACCATTTGGTCTTGTTATAGTTTTTCATCACACTGCCAACTTAACAGTGTACATTCGCTTGAGAAAACAGACCCGCTAGTAAATCAATAAAGAGCATACTTAACTTGTCGATACCATCGTTACCATTTTATCGGGAATAAAAGCAGTGAGCGTTTCCTGGTGCTCGCGATGAATAATACACAAAATAAAGCTATTTGCGTCGATTCAAGGCCGGTCATATTCGCGAAGGTTTACATAATATTTGTTTATTTTTCGAATGATTAAGTTTCAATTTTCCAGACGCTCGTTTCATCGGACATTGATAGCTCTACAGCGCTCGACCCGAAATAGGTCGTAGCCGTTATTACTTGTAATTGTATATAAGAAGAAAGTATTTTGATGGTTTTTAAATATTTACACTGGCATAGGACCAAGAAGTAGTGTTCGCGCGGCAGCGTGGTAATTGAAAGAAAATCTGGCGCCGCAGTACCAGAAAACAGCGATTGTTTGCTGCGTTTATTAATTTTTTAATACAATTCGATGTAGCAAACGTTATTATGTTTACGTTTTCTTGAAACTTTATGAACAAAGAGTAAAAAAAGTGTAAACAATTTAAACTTTACGTATGAAATGCTTCCGAGGTGCAGTGTTTAAATTTTGCTAAAAAAAAAATGTTTTACATCTTTCTAATTAAATTTGATGCAGAATATTAGATAATAACTCTACACGGTTTGAATATGGCAATGATAAATGAGATATTTATTCAGAGACACAGAAACATAACATTTTTTGAGCAGAACTTCTATGCCACTTAGCAAAAACAGTAATGATCTTTAATTTACAACTTATTTTAAAACTTTGGTGTGCGAAGTTTCAAGTTTTACAACGATGCATAGGAGAAGACTGCAATACAGTTAGATTGGGATATTTGGTAAGGCACATTAATTAATTCTGAAGAAGTTTTGAGCCTAGAAAGAAGGAGGTGTTCAAACTACCTCAACTATCATATTTTTTCGCATTTTTACTGATAATATGCTATTTTACTAAAATCAAAATCGTTTACGAAAATAGGAGTTTACCACATGAAATGCCAGTTTACGATATGTATAATAATAGCGCTGTTAATAACAAATAGTTTGACAGAAAATTGTTTATTTAAATATTGGGAACATTGTATATACTTATTAAAAGTACAATTATTCAAATTTGAAAAGTTCGCAACACAAAATTTATTCAATTCTACTTGTTCTTTCTGAAAACTCCTACGATTCTCTATCTGCATTCCTGAATCACGTTGAGGTGCCACTAGTTCATGCTGATGAAATGTACTATTTGAAATTTTCAACTTATTGACAATGCTTTCCTCGATATACTAGTTGACTCCTATCCTCCATGTGTTTTTTTAAGTGGTTGAATATCACCTCCACTTAGCGAGGAAGGTGGCAGACGTCCTCCTGAAGCAAGGGCCAGTGTAACTGGATGCATCTGGATGTTTTAAGTATTCTGCAACTCCTTGAGGAATTTTTCCAAAACTATTGATGCCAACTGGTTGTATTTGTGCACTTACCGTAATTATCGTAAATGAAAAATCTATTGTGATTTACTTGTTTGGGTCTCAATTGTAAATA